GCATGAGCCTGTAAACTCATTCTAAACCGAAAAAGTGGGAAAATTCAGAGAAATGGGAGCAAGGACCTTTTTAAAAAAAAAACCTCGCAATCCATATAGAAATCGATATCTGTATCGAATGTGAGGTGTTTTCCAAAAAGGATTTTGCTCTCATTTCTCTGGATTTTGCGACTTTTTTGGCTTAGAATGATTTTTTGGGCTTACGAGCTTCTGTTATAATAATTGGATCGTATTTGGGAGGGATAATTTAACACCTGAAGGTTCAAAAGTAAAAAAATCAAAGGACCATTTTCATGCTGTAAAAATGCTTACTTGGATTCACAAAATTAATGTTAAGTAAAACTTAATTTGATATGATGAGTAATAAGAAAATCGAGTGAATAAAAATATCTAAGCATCCAAGAGAAGTTAGTCTGAATTGCTAGGATTGGGAATCTTAGGTATTTACTTAGACAGGATCATTCTTTTCAGCAAGTTTCAATAATTCACTTGAATTATTTTGGGATGGACTAATAATGTACCTTTTAAGTGAGAACATTTAGTAAGAATTTGACTTTTAGATCATTTCTCATAAAAAAGAATAAAACTGCAATGGCTCACTGAGGACAGCTACACAGTCCTTTTCTGGGCCTTCATAAATTGTAAAATAGATCCAGCTACCTACATACTGCTTTTGCCCTAAGTTTAAACACCATAAAAGAAAAATTTATGACAGCTCACAGATTATTACATACGCGTGAAAGACTTTTTTGTGAAATAGTTACCTCCTCGTCCAAAACCTGCCCTGGCTCCTGCTGGAGTTTCTTTGATCGTAAAGTTCAGACTAATAATATGATCCCCACCTAACTTTCCACAAACGAAGATGCATGTGAGGCATGAAAAATCCTGCGCTGAGCATTTATTCAAGCAGTGGGCAAAAGAAACATGAGTGTATGCTTGGGAAAATATAGATTAGAGAGGTGATGAACCCTATGCTGGAAACAAATTTGCATTTCAGTGTAGCGCTAAAGTTGATTCCTGACTGGCTCACATGAAGAATCAGGATTTTTAAATGTCTGAAGAGCGTCAACCAAAATCATGAGCAAGGATTCTTAAATGGTGACTCAATAAACCGGAAGGTTGGAGAATTGAAAGATAAAATTCCACAAGGCAAATGCGCCACAGTTGGATAATGCGCTCAGCAGTTCGCAAAATTTCCTATTTGCTTTCACCGCTGGTAAGAATAGGTATAGAAAGCCGTTGAATAAAATTCTAAGGAATGAAAGGAGTAGTAACTTCAAATGCCACAGGCACAGGGGTCTGTGAAAGATCACTACATACTTAGGATGCTTCAAACTTTGATTACGAGAATCTCCCATGCAATCATTTTGCATACCAAACTTTTACTTACGGAAGGCTTCCAATGAGGATAATAATGTGAGAGTTGAGAGCATGGAGAGAACATTGGAAAACGAGTTGGAATATCTTACGGGAGAGCTTGATAAACCACATTGAGTGTGTTTATGGTTATGATTCTAAGTGCAGCACATGTTTCCAAAGTCAAGAGACTTAACTACGGCGTTTTATAAGAATGAGGGGACCAACAAATCATGAGCAACAATTCAATGGTTTCAGGAATCTGGAGGATACTGAGAACAAGTAAATAAGCTAAAGAATTCAGAATTTGCAAGGTTACACACCGGAAGAAAACAAAGCACCTGGCTTGACTTACGTTTTGAGGAGGATGAAGTTGGCGTGAAAGGTAATCCAAAATAGAAGTAACCAAGTTTAGGAGGGGTAAAATTCCAGTAAAAAAACCACACTTCAGAATTTCAAGTGCTTATAAACACTCCACAATTTTAAAACACGAAACACACGGACACGCACAAAGACGCTCGACAGTTCAGACGGCGACGAAATTCGCGACTGAAATTTTAACGGACAAATTGTGTTGTTCTTTCTTTGGAACACTGATGCCCGCGCACAGCGCGAAACTTCTCTCGAGTAATTAGAAAGATGCTTCGCGCATAAGTTGCTGTGTCTCATATTTTGTTCATGATTCGTTTAGAAATTTCTCATCAATGAATGGACAATTATTAATTCTGCACTGCGGAATTACAAAAATATGTCAAAACCTCAGATGCGAAAGCCAACGGCTGCTTGAGTAGTTGAGTACCGAACACCGAAACGTTGTGAACTTATGAATGAGGGGCCGTGCTGTTGGCAGCCTGGTCGCGCTGAGAAGAGCGTAGTTCCTCGCCAAGCCGCAGGGAGCGTTGTCATAGCTCAACTTAAAGTTCAGCGGGAACTTGGCGGCAACGGTTCAGCTTAAAGAACCTTTTTTCAACTCCTATGTATGAACTTTTTTTGAAGAGCAGAAACAACCGATGAATGGAAGGGGTTTTCTAAAAAAAAAAAAAAAAAAAAAAAAAAAAAAAAAAAAAAAAAAAAGTCAACTTTAAGAATCTAAACAATAATTGCTAAGAATTTTAAAAACTAAAAATTTAACTTATAGTTTATTATTATAATTAACTTATAATTTAATCCAAAGGAATAATCTTTAAAAGTTTCCTTATCCGAGGCCAACGGTTTTTTTTTTTTTTTTAAGAGTCGCCTGTTTTAAATTTAAAAGTTGCTTTGAGTTAATGCTGGGGTCAATACTTCCATAAAAAGTGTTAATTTAAATTTTAAATTTTGATTTCATCTAAACATAATTACCTATCGTCTCTCTCTTGCATCGTCTAGCTAGACTCCTTAAATTACATAACTGATCCCTCTTCCGGAGGCGTAGGTAGCTGGATTGGAGAGGAAGGGGGAGTCCTATCCAGAGTACCTAGTTTTTCTCCCCATTTGATTTGGAATTTTCCCCCTAAAAAGGCTTATTTCGTTTGATTTTCATGTAGGGACGTATTACCCAGCATGAAGTTCCGTGACACACCCAATCTCTTCCCGAATTTATTTCTGTACTTCAACTTTTTCAAATTGCAATTTTAATCACATTCACTTCATATATACCTACTTTCAAGCACACTCTGCTTCATTCTTTCTTCTTTTTATCATTCTGCAAGACCCCTTTATCATATTTATATGAAAAGATTATATCAATGGTGAAACAACCAGACCACGCGTTTGCGACGCTGTACACTTCCTGTCATACTTTATTTTCTAAGTGGAAAACCACTCAACGTCAATTCTTGAAAAAGTGCGTGTTTTTCCGCTCTATGCGAAGAAAACACCGTAGAAATTTCAAGAAATACCTAATGATGATTTGTTCTTCTCCAAAAAATTAAATGGGAGCGGAGATTTTTAAACACCGAAAACGAGATACATGCGTGGTCTGGTAGTTTCACTGTCGATATCGACGTTGAAACTACCAAACCATGTATCTCGGTTTGCGACGTTGGAGACTTGCTGTCATACTTCATTATTTAAATGGAAAACCACTCAGCGTTAATCATCTACTGAAAAAGTCCGTGTTTTTCCGCTCTGTGCGAAGAAGACTCTGTTAAAATGTCAAGAAATAATGTTGATTTGTCCCTCTTCAAAAAAATTAAAATGGGAGCGCAGATTTTTGAACACCGCGAACGAGATACCTACGTGGTTTGGTAGTTTCATTGTCGATATGTTTTTTTACTATTGAATGTACGTTAGTTACCTAATGAACGTTTCAGGATGATGCAGTGCAAGCCTTCTATGCCTTTCGTCCATCAATTTGATCGAAGCATAACATCTCCTTGGTCCTTGCCATGAAGTACGTGAAAACCCGGTGAGCCTTCAACTTAGTGTATATGCAACAAGGACAACCGCCGAACACGATTAGTTGCTCAAAGTCGGGCGCTGCTAAGACGTGGCGTCCCGTCGTCGTCTTAACAGCAGTCGATTTCTGAGGAAAAACGCCGTATGAACCTTCAAGCATTGCCAAATTTCCTTTGATTAAATATACATTTTCGAGAAAATCAATGAAAATTTTTCTTCCAGTTTTTCCAGATGATTTTGTTCGCAATTTCATCTAAAGTTCCTGAAGATTTCAAGGAAAAATATTCATAAATCTTCTTGAAAATACATATTTTATCAGAGGAAACCTGGCAACTCACGAATATTCATAGGCGTTCTTCCTTAGCACGGCTGATTAGTTGGTTTGCAACCTTCGTATGTACAGAAGACGTGATATTTTTCTGTGGATTCTTGTTCCCATTTTCTACTGATTCATGCGCCTTCACCCCCCCCCCCTTCTTTATTCTGCATTTTCAAGGGGTCTATGATTCAATGAGTTTTTGTATTTTCTTCTGAAGTCATGAAAAAATAGCGATTCAATGACTTCGTATTTAGGAATTAAAGGTGTATACGGCAAAGGGAAAATGTTTATTTGTGGATGCCAGGATTGCAAAATGTCCTTGGCCCTCTTCGCTATCTATTTTTGTTCTCTCTCTTCATTATGGTTTTAATCACATTGCGATTCTTGTTCTACATTTCTCTCTTTCCTCCTTTTGGCCTCACACTTCGATTTTTTTTTTTTTGCAGGAGCAAGTATTTCTCCACTCCGAGACATGCTGATAAAACTATCAATTTTTTTCGTTTTGAAAGGAATGCTTTCCACCATTTTTGTTGGTATCTAGCTTATATGGATCACCCCTTACTAGTAGTTTGAATTAAAAATTTCAATATACTCATTGAATTGCATGCAAAATGTCCACAAAAAAGCCCCAAAAAAATAAAATCAATTGAGTGCCTCGTGATTATCGATTTTTCTCTTAAAACTATTTTTAGAATGAGTGAAAAAATTCACAAACATCAAGCACCTCCAATGCCTTAATTTTAGTGTCTTTGAAAGATATCATGCAATATATTCTTTTTAATGTGACCTAGCTATCAGATTTTGCAGATAAGAATATGCCTAGTTAATTCATAAACTTCTGTCTGTTAAGTATTCTATTGAGCCTAGTAAAGTTTCAAAGGGACCGGGACTCTTTATCTTCTTTTTCAACAGCTTGAACTGAAGGAAGTAGAAATAATAAAACATGTTCTTTTTTATAAAAACGTTTTTTTCATAAATTATGCACAAAGAAATTACAAAAAACCAGTACATAAATTAGATCATTTCTAACTGTACAATGACTGAACATTAGACGGTTTCCATGGCTTCTCATACTGCGGTAATCAGTTTTTCATTGGCCTTTTACTACTTTGAAGAGCATACCTAATAGTGAGAAGCAGGAGCTCACTGAGCTAGCAGTGGAGCAGATGACTGTATTGATAAAATTTAAAATATAAAGAGAACAAACAATGTGGAATGGAAATAAAATTGAGACTGGCAGCTTTTCTTCCGACCAACATTACTTCCTTCTTTGGTGCTCTTTCTAGATTCGTAGAAACAGCTCACGACAAGTTTGTGAAAGACTCTCCTAAATTTTTCAACATGAAGATCAGCTTTCATCCATTTTTACATTATCATCTTTCCTCAATTCATAAATCTGTAACAATTATTAAGTCAAGGAAGAGCGCATGTTAATACATTGAGTGCAAGATGTACAAAAGGCTTAAGAAATTACTTATTTTAGGAGGAAGAGTTAAAATACATACTTATTAAGGGATAGTAGGGCTACATTTTCCAAGATGGAACTGCTACTATCTGGCCTACATGGCCTACATGGTTGAAGTACCTTCATGCACAGGGAACCTATTGGCATGCATAAACATTGTAATATGGGTCAGGAAGAGTGGTTCCTTATTGAGAATGTACTCCTGTTCATAATATGACGATCAATTTTTATTTGCTATGTTTTCATTGTTTTAAATCAAATGTTAAAAGGGCTTATATTTTCTACGGGGGTGCAGAAATTGCTTGCCTGAAAATGAAGATACCTGAAAAGGGGGGTAAAATGTGAGGGCTGCACTACTTTTTGTGAGGGAAGCTGTTGAACGCATTCATTTTTTTGGAGGAAACTGCTCCGCTTGTTGTTTTTTGCAAGAAAAAACTGTGAAATCGGCTCTTTTACTAGGAGAAAAGAAAGAAGCTTGCAGTCTTATATAGACAGCAGTGTGAAGGTTGCCTCAAAACATGTGAGAGGAAAGAAGTCTGAAGTAGAAAGCAGTGTGGAGGCAGCCTTAAAATATGTGAAAGCTGCCTTGAAAACTGTGAAGGGAAGGTGGTTTTATATAGATAGCAGTGTGAAAGCTGCCTCAAAAAATTTTTAGGCAAAGAACTCTCCGCACCCCTGGTTTTCATCCGAAAAAAATTTGATTGAAAAATATTTCCACGCTGCTTACCATCAAATACCACGAGCAATGGCCATTAAAAGGATTTTCAAGAAATTATGTGTTCTAGATATTCAATAAAAATCATTCTTTGGACACAAGAGTGTCTCGTTACATTCCACTGACTTGTTGGCTTCATCAGTTATTTCATTTTTTAGACAATTAAATAAAATTGCAAAGAGAAACTTTTACTTCCCAAAGTTTAACATTATACCATCTCCTTTACTTTCCTCCTATCAAAAGCTGTACAATGTCAAACCATGGTGTGAGCAGGTATTGTTAAATGGCCAGGCGAACCCTTTAGATCTACCAATGTGAAGTCCTTTGTGCCGACTCAAGGGTCAAAGGAATTACTTTCAGCTGATCATAATAAGGGGTCTATGATTCTATTAGTTTTTGCATTTGCTTCTGATGTCATGAAAAATAGCAGTACAATGACTTTGTATTTAGTAATTAAAGGTGTATTTGGCAAAGGGAAAACGTTTATTTATTGTTGGCAGGATTGCAAAATTTTGCTGTTCTTTGACTCCGACAAAATTCACTTAATATTGCACACAATATTCAGGAAAATTACCTCATAAAATTTGAACATTTTAGAAGGCAGATCTCTGAAGATAAATGATCATGATTAACAAAAAATACGTCAAGAGCTACCAAATCTCATCAATATCAAATGCATGTGCTCTTTCCTCGAATAACCCTTCAATTACGATTTCTGAGTAATTCTTTAAAGTCTTGTTAATATATATAAACAAAAAAGGCTGCTGAGAAACTGAATTGTTACCTGAATGTATGCTTCTGTCAATGTGATCATTTGCGGTAAAATATCTGTTACATGCAAATCCTGAAGTTCGTACCATTTGCCAGTTCCCTGAAAATTAAAGAGAGTCATTGAACTACATAATCTACTCGAATTGTTGAGACAATGCTAGAGAAACTTTCATATTTAATAAAACTTGGATTAAAAAACAAAATTTCAGGAAAAGTAGCAACTTTTGTGACTTCCCTGCCAATATACCAGCTCTTGCCTGTTCAAACCTAACTGTGTTAATGTTTTTTGATACATGCAGATCTCTTGAAATAGGTTCGAATCGTAACAGAACCAAGAATAGGCTTCTTACTTCAAATGTATGATAAAAAAACTCTAGCTGAAGCATGACACACTGAAAGCCTACCATTCTGTACCTCTCTGAAGAAAAAATGTACTTAAGTGAGCATCTTTCTTCTACCATGAAAATTTCTCTGTGATACTGAATTTAATGCTTGATGACAAATTTATATAATGCCTAGTCTCCATTTTTTATAGTAAAATAGACATTTTATTTAGCATTAATAGTTCCTGCGAAAGTCATATTACACTTTGTTCTGTAAAAATCTTTTTATTTCTCGATAAATTGCCAAACTAGATCAATTTTCATCTTTATTCAATTGCAAATGTTACTCTTTTGACATTCGTAGTGAATTTCCTCATCTCTTGTAAAACATTTCAAATTCTAATCGTGATTCAAAATTTTATGAAACTTACCTTGTGAAGAACATGAACTCTATAGGTTCCTTTACCAGGTTCTCCATCATGAACTATATTTGCTACAAGATCATACGTTGTGTATTTATGAACAGCTTTCACTTCCGGTGTCAAAATATCACCAAAATCAATATTCCTGGAGCAAAAAAAAGAAGCAAAAAACATGAAACACATATCACCAAGTACGTAGACGCAAAGTTATTGAGCAAGGCTCCTCATGCATCTAACATTTAGAGTCAATTTTTCCTAGTAGACAGATGATTTTGAAATTTTCTAGGTATGTTTAGAATTAGTTCATCATGGCAGCATGACTATATTTGGCTGAGGAGCCCATACTTTCTTCAATTTATTATAATAGTTTCTTATGGTTTCTATGACTCGAATTATAACAAGAAGTAACTAAAGGCCTCATGTCATAAAATAATGGTCTTTAGACAAGAGGACATTCCAAAGTTAGAAATTTAGTTTCCTTCACTGCGGATTTGACAATATTTTCTGTCACTGTTCCTGAAAAAAAAAAGACGATGAGCACAATACATTGCAGTTTGACATTAAGAAATTTCACTAATTTTCAATTGGCCAATTAGATGGCTCACTGCAATTCATAGTGCCCTCTTATGTTTTAGTTTTTTTGCAGAAACATAATAAGTTGGTGCCTTGAAACTTCTTAAGAATTTTTCCTAAATTATGAGGAATAAAATAAAAAAATTTAATTAATTAAATTGTAATTATTTTGAGACGCTCCAGGTTTTGTTCATTCTTTGTTCTTTATTTGCAGCCTTTTCCCCAAATTAAGTTCTTCTTTTATTATGTGTATTTTGGCTGATTAAGTTGTTTCTCAAAAAAATTCAAGTCTGAATGTTACTTAGTTATCTGTTGAATAAATAGAAAATGAGAGAAAACTGGGCTACATCTGATGTTAGGTTGATTTTCGTTAAATCCGTCTAATTGTTAAAGTTCTGTGTTTGTTGACTAGACAAGACAAGACTAATGTTAAGTGGAGATATATAATCGGTTACATATATTGACTCTATTGTTCGCCACAGACAAGGAAGACATTCAAAAGATCAATTTTCTAAGATTTAGCATAAAGAAAGTGTTTTTTAAGAGTTCGCCATTCTCAGGAGGTCTTTAAAACATCATATCTAAAAAAAAATAATAGAACAATGCATTAAGTATTCTTCAGCATCGGTTCAAGAAAAAACTGAATATTTCAGATTGGGATTCTTTACTTCATCAATCCTAAGAGTGGATCAGTGATCAAATTGAAAAAATAGAAAAACATTACAATAAACAGCACTACTCACTTTACAGGAAAATTAACAATTGTTGGATTTTTCTCGACGAAAAATGTATTCTTTGTAAACCTCTGAAAAAAGAGCAAAATTTGAAATCAATGAAAATCATAAAGAGTCAATTACTTTTACACTCAAAGACTTGTCTTGTCATCAATAACAGACTTAAGTGCCAAAGAGCTAATTTCGAGTTACTCTCATTTTTACCTCTAAAAACTGCTGTTGGACAAACCACTAACGCTATCTTTTAGACATAATATGGACAACTTTAACGTTAATGGCACTTAGCATTTTGTCCTTTTTGCTTCAAACGGAACGCCAAGCTTGGCTCAATTTTCGATTTTGTGCCACTTCACCTGTTATTGATGATAAGTCTGCATACATGTAAAAAATTGCTGGAGAAAATTGAACTTTCATACAAAAATAATGTGATCTAATTTGAAATATCTTTGAAAATTCTTCTGAAACTTTCAGGACTTTTGCATTGCTTCAATTAATATTATATGATTTTGATTTGCTGTTTCATTATCTTATTGGAAAGGTTCCAACTGTGACTTCTCGTATTTCTCTCCTCTTCATTTTAGATAGGAACATTCCTTCATCATTTTATTCAGAGTTTCAAAGATTGCTCTCATTCAAAACTTTCGCTTTGATCCTGTCAAGAAACAAAGCTCAGACACTCATGGCGCAGAAGCCATCTAATTTGCAAGGTGAAAAAAGTTTAGCATTGATTTTGGTTCTCGTAGTTCATGTTTCAATAACAACTGAACCTTCTTTTTGAGAACTTCATTCAATCCTGGGCGGGTCAGTGTTGAAAAAAAAGTATACCCGTCCAATAAAAGGACAAGGGACATTTTTCGGACGGCAGGAACCCGATGGCATTTCTACCTTCCACTAAAACTCATAAAAAAATGAATCATTGAACAAAATAATGGGTGAGTCACAAATTTTAACAATTTCACATGCACTTTTCTAAAATTTGTGATGAACGTTCCAATAAAGGATTCCAAAAAAGAAAAATCTGCAGTATAAAATTTTCTAGGCTTGTCAAAAAAAGTTATAGCTTAGCTAAGAGACTGGGAGAACTTATAATATGAAACAGAATCAAGATATAACAAGAAATCTTAATTATCTTGGAGAAATTTGAATGTAAGGGTAGAAATCAATTAAAAGTTGAGCATAAGTCAACTAAACGTCTCAGGTCTTTTCCATTCATTTTTCATCCAGGAAAAACTGTTAAACCTAATATTGAATTCTCCTCTCTGAAATTTTAAAGAGGCTCAAAATTATAATCACTTACCTTGATGTAGAGAATCAAGAAAGGAGGAAGCTGCGTTATTTCGAAACGTTTCATGAAGTTCTCTTTATAAGTTTTGTACTCTTTTTCTGTTTCGTTATCAAACTTAGTCAACAGTGTGTACAAATTGACCTGGAATTAGAAAAAGAAGGATGAGATAGAGTCACAGAATGGACCACAAGACAAGAGATGCCAATTTCAGCATTCTGATACAGACCTCCTGACCAAAATTTGACGATCTCCGCAACAAAAATTACTGGAATCAACTTCTACTTAAGATATTAGTGATTATAGTTTACATTGGCTCCAGAAATTCATAATGCCCCCCTCACTTTTGAATTCACCGACACCCTGCACAGTCGACTTAGGTCAAATTATTTGCTACAACAGTGCTGGCAAGTTTCTTAGTCAAGCAATGTCTCTCCTTCACCTTGTACTGTTCGAAGTGTTTAAAATGTGCAACAGCTGAGCCAAAACACCGAGATTGAGTTTTTCACGTTTTCACGCCATAGGGTCTATTGCGGTAACATTTAGTGCACGATTTGACTCGAGTAGGCTTATGATATTTCATAAGGATGTTTAAAGTGACGCATCCAAAAACAATAAATATCTTTAGATAGGAGTTGATTTCAGTAATTTTTATCACGCAAATCATGTTCTACGCAAAATTTTGATGGGGAAAATGTGTTAAAATGCTTAAATTTGTATTTTATTAAATGGTACATTAGTTTTTTCACGATTAGGTCTAGAAATGATTTGGATTTTGAAATCCTCCAAACTGGAAGGAAATACGGTCCTGAGACAAAATTCAACGGTTAAAGCACATTTAATTATTTTTGAGCCTGCAGGAGTTAAATATCCCTTGAATATACTCCTGCAAAAACTTCCAAAACAAAAAGGGTAAAAAAGCATGTTACCTGAGGTATTATATTCTCCATAATTTCATCTTTGAACAGTGGTGGAGGTGGTAGGTCACAGGTTAAGTACAAGAACGGTGATTCGCTTACTTGCTCAGCATACTCCTCTGTCATGAGCAGAGCATTTTTTTCTGCCTCACTCAGTTCTACAGGAAGGATCTTCCGCGTCCGGACTCGCATCGAACCTAAAAATGTTTTGTAAATAATGCTGGAATCCTTCTTCTTTGTTCCATTCAATGCTCGGTGAAGTGCGTTCAAAAACCAAGATAGGAAGTCGATTGGATCACCTAAACAGTAAAACATTGTTTTTGTTTGATGACAGTTAATTAATTATTATAGGATTTTACTTGATCACTATGCTTTTGAATTTTCATTGACTTAAAGTGCCTAGGCAACGGAGAGTAGACTTCTGAATTAATCTTTTGTTGACTTAGGAAAAATTTAAATTTGAATCTGTTCCACTTAAAATAATGGTTCAAGGAGATAATCATTGAATCATACTTCTGTAGCTTACTAGGGCTGTATATTGGTAGCACTGAGAATGACACCAGTGCCTTGAATCCCTTCCAGTTCTCTCAGAAATAATGATATAAATGGTACTCGGAAAAAAACTTGTTGCATTAACATCTGGGATGTTAAAGTCTGCGTGACAACTCTGCAATGTTGATATGAACGCTCTGGATATTACTGTAAAATCTTCACAACACTAAATTAACAGCAGGAGCAAAAGCAAGATTCAAAATTGTCACAAAGATTTCAATATTCTTAGTGATAATTCAGAAAATTTCTTTTTTTCATACACAAAGAAAAATAAGAGTTTATGATAAACGCATTTGAAGTAAATTTAGAGAAGTTAAAAGTTCCAATGGTAAGATTCCGATGTAAATATTAATAGACGTACCCTGCTCAGTGAACTGAAATCTTTTTTTACTCCATAAAACAACTGCTTGTAACATTTCATGAGGGGAGACGTGAGCTTTGAAATTCCTTGGGTTCCATAACTTTCGCATAAGTTCTCCAAATCTTTGGACGAGAAGAAACGAGCTGTCTCCGGGAGGCCGTTTTACACGAGCGTAATTGATTTCTCTCAAGAAATAGTCCCGTAATGGTGTAACATGTGACAGAGCCTGAAACACAATAAGATAAGCAGCAAGAGTTTGAGCTTTCTAATGAGGAGTTTTTTTCACAGTTTTATAATGAGATAAATTTTTATTTTTAATTTTGAAGGTAGGTTTCTTTATACATTTTTATGATGGTAGAGAGAAATCTGTTCCATAACTTAAATTTTCATCGAAAACCCTTCATTTTATGACTGTTACAATTCAATTTGTAAGAATTATATTTAAGAATTTGTTCTTCAAACTTTACATAAAACGACTTTTTTCCCTCACAGATGACATTATTTTCAAGAAAATCGAAAGTCATATGTTTTTAATATATTTTTGATGAGAGTGCTTTGTGCTTGATTTGTCCTTACGTTATGAAAAGACTATTGAAAAAAAAAGGTAAAATACGGTAGCTTTATTATGAAAAAAGACGTCTGTATCCTTCAATCAAATTATTGCGATTTTCTAGGTATCTTATTGAAAATTTCTTATAAGTTTGTTGCGTAGAAACTCTACAGCGTGAGATGTACATCTTTTGTAACAGTGAGATTTAGAGAATCCGTACTAAGTCATGGAGTTGGGATACATTCAGTTGATCAGAACTGTTACTGTCTGTTTTTCTTAGGATTTGTTAATATTTTATTTTCTTTTGATTCAGTTACATGCATGAATAAAATATTTTTAAGCTTCTCATGACGCAAGTAATAGAGAATTTGTTCTCAGATGACAGAAAGGTATAGAATTAGAAACCTTTGATGAACAAATTCCATACTTATTTTTTCAAAAGAAGACTTTCCAGTTTGATGCTCAACCAGCTAGACAATGCATCTCTGTTTACTCACGTCAGATGTTGAAATACGGAATGAAATAAAGACATTGAAAGGAAAGAAAAGGCTGCTGAATTAAAAAAGAGGTTCAAGTGCAAGTCCTCAGACATATTTCAACTTGAAAATTGCATTGCCATAAAGGTATTTAATACTGAATGTGAAGAGCAATGCTTAAACTAAAACTAGGGGAAAATTACTTCTACAGAAGAATTAGGAGGTGGTCACAATATATGATTTGTTTGCCATGTTGTGTGTGTGTTGTGTTGTGTGTGAGGGTGTGTGTGTTGTGTCGTGTGTGTGCACAATATGGTGCCAATATTCCAGCAAAGTCCAAAATTCTAAGTATGAGAAACAGACCATAACGTCCGTTTCTTTTTGCTTGGTTCAACTTAGAATTAATTTCAAATACTTCACATAGAATGACTTTTTCCTCAATAAAATACATCATTTTCAAGAAAATCGATGACATAAGGCGCCTGTGCCCGCCTGTGTTATTGATGAAATCTAAGACCCCCGAAATGCAACTACTTCCTTTAAAAAGAAAAATATTGTATGTTCCGGGGATACTAAAAATTAAGAGCTGAGAGTCCTTTTCCACATTGCTCCGACTTACATGAAGGATAACATTACAGTAATCATTGGCTTTGATGTTGTTTAATCCAACTATTCCTGGAAGATAGAGAGTTCCATCGATTGCACGCGATAACTTTCCAGTTGTGTTCAGCTGTTTGATATGCTCTGTTGTAAACGTAGGATTTAGAACATACTTTATATCCTCTAAGGATGAATCTGGAATAAAAAGAATTCATCTCAGTAACTACATAGATGATTGAAAATGTGAGTTTCAACAATCACCATCTGTTGAGAGACAATGATGATATTCTGTAATGTTTAAATTTCGACTGACTGCCCATGACAAAATAAAAAATTAACATTGGAGCGGCATTTGCCGTGTTTAAGTGGCAAAATGGTGACTCTCTGACTGCCTTGATTTGTTATTTGACTAATGAATTTCTTTGTAATGACTGAGCACTGCGTTGTAAGTTTTGCAGTTATCACTGTTAAAATTTTGATTACCTGTCTTTAATTAAGGTGCTGTTGCTCTTCTTTTTTATGATGTTTTTTTTTAGCGCTGTTTGCCAATGTGCACTTCAAGTGGAATAATATTCATTAATTTAGGAGTTGAAGTTAGAAGCGACACTCTTCTGTCTATTAAATTTAAATATGATTAAGCAAAAACATTCCTCTGTCCTTATGAAAAGCTAAAATTCAGCATTACCCCAACTGTTGTGATCCGTTCGTTAAGAGTAATTGAGGCAATCTTGATGAAAAAATTCTTAGCATTCTACATACACAAAGACACAAACATACACTATGTTGCTGCTTGTTTGATACATACCTACAATTTCATAATTATCAGGCAGGCAGTAGAACTTGAGAGTGTGTAAATTCAAAAATACATGATGACTTTCAGCTACGCTGTGTGTGTAAGCATGAGTATTCGTACCTCGGCCTGAAAAAATGATAATGAAGAGATCATTAGATCTTACCATTATAGAAGTTACATGGATGAAGGGCTAAATTAATAAATGGATTTGATTAGATTGTGTATTGATAATAGTTTGTGTCAACGATACTATTTTATGTCTTTTGTCAGTTGATTTAAGTACAAAACTGATGCAAGGCTAAAAATTGTACTTTCAATTTGGTTCTTACAAGTTTGGGCATTTAGCACAAAATATCAGAATGAAATGGATCCAGTTCAAGGCCCTGGAAAAGTAGTTAAGTATGTCTAAAAAGCCCAAGTGGTTAACGATACTCTTTAAGAATTATCAAGAGTCTACCCTATGATATCTACAACCCTTCTCATGATTTCATATACAAAAAATTTGATTTTTTACCTTGAAAATATTTTCCACAAACCAGGCATGCATAGACATTGATCCTAGATAAGGAGACCGAACAAAGCTTCTCAAAATCAAAGTCCAAAACTTGACGGTTGATGGTGTCTAAGTATGGGCAAAGTCGGTGTGTCCTAATGGGTTTGACATCTTCTTCAAAATCAACTTTTCGTCTCTTAGCATCGTCTGAGAAAACATAAAAATTGAAAAAAGTAAGGTTTAATTATTGTAACAACTGCCAGAAAGAAGAATATACAACAGTAGAAAAGTGATACTGTGACAACATTATCACTCCATTATCTTTGGGTTTCAAAATAATCTAAGGCCAATATTTTTGTGAGAAAATAGTAAGCAGCCTAATTTGAGTAGGTTATAAATTTCAGATTTGTGGTTGATTTTTGCTTGGAGGAAGAGCACAGAGATCTTTGAAGGCAGCCTCCATTCCAAATGAAAGAAAATCGGAAAAAGTTAGAGAGCAACTGAGAAGAAGTGTCGCAGAATACAACTTCATTGTGCGCATACTTTTTTCTTTAAAATTTTGCTGTCCACAGTCAATTACTGAGAGAGGACGCAGGGATCGCATTTGCCCGAGAGGCAGCTTAACCTGGCGAAACCAACACCTGGCATGACTTCATGATGCCCCATCAATTTTGATGCCGCGTACCCAGCACCAAAAGTGAAGCGGCCTCATTCAGACATGTCGGTCGCCAGCGCCCCAGGCGGCCGGGCCAGGTGGCTAATCACACCAGGCTGTGTTTTCAACCCTTCCTCAGCGTCCACTTTTAAGGACTTCCCGGCGAGGCGTGGGCCGCCGCGCCAATGGGAAAGGTAGACAAAGGGGTGCTCCGCAAATTCATCGCCAAGTTCAAGGGTCATATACCCCGGCAGTCTTCTGGGACAGCCCCATCAGTAATGAAGCTGGGTCGTGGGACCAAAAATTGATGCCACATCGGACAGAGAGCCAAGGCTTCAGCATCAAAAGGTGAAGCGCATTTTGGTCCCTTACGTAGCATCAAACCTCAGTATCAGCCCTTAATGCTGGACTGGCTGGCATGTCAGCATTAGGCATCAATGCTCAAAGCCAGCGGGTTGCGCGCATTAGGCGCGGCGCCGCATGTCCACTACCTAGGCATACAGCATTAATGCTGATACTGCAAGCCAATGCTGTAAGGCATAACCTCGTGAAACGCATCAAATCCCTGGTTGAACCACGGCTTAATGATACGGCTGGCAAAAAAATGTTCAGTATCATAGCATTTTCTTCTTCCTACATCTTGTTAGTGCTCCTTCTATCATCATCTAACACTTTAATAGTAAGCTTCCGACAGTTTGAAGTTTTTGCCCAGGCTATGTAACATTCTCATGCATTGCGATGCCAAACGAGAGGTGATCCAGGCGATAGAGCTCTCAGATGACAGCCAATGGATTTTAAGGTGAGATGATAAACTATAAACATACCTGGTTGAGGTTCGCTCATCATAAGATTTTCGGAGGCCAAGTTAAAACCAAATCATACGATAAAATAGCAATAAGTGAATGGTTCACACTTCAAAGATTGTTTATTTTTATTCCATTTGTAATAACATAACCTCAAATCAGAAAGAGCCGGTGGAAAATATTGCCAACTTAAAATTTCCAAGTTTCAGAAATTTTCATCAATGTCTGAAAGAGAAGCAAAGAACATCTCAAAAAATTCAATGGGAAAACAAGTTTAGCAAAGAATTTTATTCGAATTCCAAAAAATTTTCAAATACTTTCAATTAGCTCGCAAAATTTCTGTGGAAAACGCGATATGATGGTTTGGGGTTACAGGATTTCATATTTGAGGCAAACTGTAAAAAAAAAAACAACCAATAAGAGGTAAACGTAGGGTAAACGCTCCGTTTTTGGATTGCTGATTGGGCTACGAGCTACGACTATTTTTGGCGCTAAATACGATTCAGAATGATGTATTGTGCATGTGTGTGAATGATGTATGTGCATGTACATGTTCTGGGCAAATTTTAATGTAAGGTGACTTTTGAGGGGAGAAAGTGAGTTAAAAGCAGAGCTCAAAATAATTCATTAGTTGAGGTTAACATGCAATCAGCTCCCGAACAAGAACAAAATTTGAAACTAACATCGACAATTGAATCTTATTACCTCAATTTTTTCTGACCCTCGCTTTTGTTTCTCCAAAGCGTTTGAGAAGAGAATTCCTTGCAAAAATTCCTTACCTGCCACAACATAGATTGCTGCCTAGTCAAAAATACTCACCTCACTTTCCATCTACTTGAAAAACCGCTATACATTTCGAACCTTCACATATTTAAAAGAAAACCGATCGAAAAACCTCCTGGGAATTTTCTGAGAACTCTTTTGAATGAGTCAAGAAAATTCACAAAAAGTAGCTAAGAAAACTCAAGAATGGCTATTTTAATAAAAGAAGAAGAAAAAATTGAGCGGGAGCAGAGATTTACAATACCTATCACAATTAATTAGAGTTACATATATTTTTTGACTTAAGTCATTAATATGATTTCTTCACAAGAACTCACATCAGAAAAAATCCATCTGTTGTAAGGCTTGCTGAATATTTTGCGAATTTGCTTTGATCATAGAGTAGTTATTTAACAAACAGCAAGCTTACACAGTCAAACAGAGGAAATTATTACCTTCCAGACACAAGGTAAGTTGGGTAAATATTCCTCATGGCGTCGGCATCTCTCACACGAAGTCTTATTCAGAAATAATAATGCAGGGTGCACTGTTTTTAACTTTATTGAAGTCATATATTTTTCTCCTACCCGCAGTATACTCGAATTCCAAGTCCAATACATATCTATTTTGAAAATTCAAAGATATTTTAACTCAGGGAAATGATTGAGGCCTGGAATCCACACCAAATAATTCTACACACTTTGGGTGTGCAACCGAAAATCAGCTGTTCAGTTCAGCATTGGAACTATTGGAGGTAAACCGAAGAATCAAGATGGCAGGTCCTCTGTTGCACTCTAAAAGACATTAACTTCCTTGGCACAGACTGAAACTACAGGAGGATCCGAAGGATGGTCCTGTAGCTAACAAGCACATCATAAATGCCTGACACAATGTTTGAATTGTACTTTGTAGTTGGGAACCATTATTTTTGTGTAATTTCTAAAACGTGTGCTTATGATTTCCCCATCCAAACTAGTTTTTTGAAAGGTGCACCAGAGATAGTAGTTATTTTGTACCTCTGCATCAGAATGTAACTGATTCATGGGTCTGATCCTGGGTCTTCTAGCGGTGCATACACTAAAATTCAGGGTTATTGAGTCCGGTTAAGTCAAACACTGAGCCAGACCCTCAGAGACTGTCTTGAACAGACTGAAACATGGTCCTTTTCTTCCAAAGATTCTCAATTCATTAGGAAAAGAACAGCAAGTTTTAGTTAATTTAAGTAGATCTTCAAGCACCTGTCGGATTATTCTAGCAATGGGGCTCTGTACGATGTACAACCAATGTCATTCCATTCAAAGTTGTCCCTCGAGTATGAAGCATAGAAAATTAATTAATTCTCACAATATGTAGTACGGAAATAACCTTCTCAAGAGAATTTATTTGAGTATTGGTAATTAGTATTGGTTGAATCACAAAAATACTCAAATGTCATTAGGATGAATTGAGATCTGTTGGTCATTGCAGGGTGTATCATTTCAAATCTTGTTTAGGGGTATTGATGTTTGGACTTTTCATTACATGAATTGCTTGCCTTGTAAAATTTTGAAGAAACAGGAAATACAGTGCTTTTAATTTATATCTTGTATTGTGCTTTAATTGCAAATTGGATATTCTCAATCATCTAAGAATTTAAAATATTTCAAGATTCTTCACGAATAGCACAATCATTAATGCCACCCGGAAAAGAATTCTGCATATATTGCTACTGTTAAAAGTGATTCATTCTCCCTTCCTTTTTAAGTACCTGATTTATTAGAAATAATAGAAATATGTATTTTAGGTTAAATTAGAAAGGGAGCAATCAAACGTTCTTCATCAGAAAGGATTCATTAATTAAGTGGGGTTTTCCGTAGATTATTTGTTATAATATTATCTGACTACATAATGATTGGAGGAGATTAAAAAAAAGATGAGATAGTTTTGTAAAAGTTATATTTTGCTCTTGAAATACAACTCATGTGAGAAGTTTAATATGGCCGAGTGTGGAGAACAAAAATAAAAGTAGCTGCTGTCAAGGCGTACAATCCATATCAAAACAATACCAAAAGGCAGATCAAGGAGGGGCAACATTAAAAATACTATATACAAAGGCAGGGATTGATCCAGGTTCAGAGCAACATCGCGACGCTAGCTTCAATAAATTTCATCAAATAGAAAAGTAAAAAAGAAAGTAGAAAATCAAAAGTAAAAGCATACGTCCGGGTCCAACGCACAAATACATCTATACATTTAAAATACAGGCAGCCACTGACATCTCACATCATACTACAAGCCGAAGCAATTTTGTTGGGCACCGGTTATCGCTAAAAAAATACACTTGGAATTGGGGACTTTCCCGCTGTATAGACAAGCTTTAAAAAAATTAGGAATCCATGGAAATAACTTAATAAAACGAGAGAACCGGGAGCATTTAACATTAACACAGATTTTTAATTTAGTTCTCATCAACTTCAGCTTCTTGCTCATCTTCAAATTCTGCGTCTTCGTCAGCTGTTGCTTCCTGGTATTGTTGGTATTCTGAAACTAAATCGTTCATGTTGGATTCGGCTTCTGTGAATTCCATCTCGTCCATACCTGAAAACAAAATTGGATTTCCGAATTAGTAAACACATTCCGAAATTGTCACATTCCTTGATTCATCAAAACTGTTGCCCTTCAATAAAATTTAAAAATCATGTGCTATTCAGTGATCGGAAACAGAAGCATCACCTTACCTCTCACTCATTGAGATACACCGGAATAGCTTTTATAAACAACATTAAAGACCTTTCAAACAAAAATCCTCTTGAAACAGGTATTTTCATGAAATAAGAGAAAACAACTGCCGAGGCCTCTGCACAGATTATTCTTAAACTAAGTTTGATTTGAAATTCAATTGATTTTTTTTGAATTACAAATTTAAGAATTTTAACTGGCAAATATTAAAATGCATAGCTAAAGCCTGGCAGCTGAATTTAATCGTTAAAAGAATTACACAAGTTCTATAGAAATGTAGTCCAGGTGGAGCTCTTTTTCACATCAACACTAAATGCAGATTTTTCTTCCTGTTAAAGTTGGGCTGATGAAATTGGCAGGGGTGCTTTCACTATAGCATAATTTTTTAAACTGTTGAAGACCTTCATGTTAACTGTAAATAGAGCAAATGCTTTTCAACTGATGAGGGACACGAAATAGACTTAGGAAAAAGTAAGTGTAAATACGTACCTTCACCAGTGTACCAATGTAAGAAAGCTTTCCTCCTGAACATAGCTGTGAATTGTTCTGAGATTCTCTTGAATAATTCTTGGATGGCAGTCGAGTTTCCGATGAAGGTGGCGGACATCTTCAAACCACGAGGAGGAATGTCACAGACAGCTGTCTTAACGTTGTTGGGGATCCATTCAACGAAGTATGAGGAGTTCTTGTTTTGGATGTTAAGCATTTGTTCGTCAACTTCCTTCATTGACATGCGACCTGTAGAAAAAAGGAGATAAATCAATATATTAAATTCCTGACAAGAAACTGAGGAAAAAAGGTGAGCTAAAAATAATGATAGACATTGCGAGTTGAAATTGAAAATCACTTATTTTAAAGGTAAAACCCACTCTTATTATTGAAGGGTGAATTTTAAAAGGTGGAAACTCTCAGGTGAGACCAAGTGTTGGGCACTTCTTGAGCAAAGTTACTGATGAAGCGAGCTTACTTTAAACATAGAACATCTCTTGGACATAAAATTTTAAGTTGTATTTCATCCAGTAATTCATTGAAAAAGAATTAAACATGAAGTCAAATTTTTCCCGGATGGTAAGTTCTCTTCAGATTTCAATCTAATAATTTTTGGACAACCAGGAATCCCTCTAATTACACTGAACTCTCCAGTAAAACTTGAATTTCAATATTGGGATAAAAATTATATTTATGCTTGAATTACCTCTGAAGATAGCGGCGACGGTGAGGTACCTTCCGTGTCGTGGGTCACAGGCAGCCATCATGTTCTTGGCATCGAACATTTGTTGTGTCAGTTCGGGAACGGTAAGTGCTCTGTATTGTTGGCTACCACGGGAGGTGAGAGGAGCGAATCCAGGCATGAAGAAGTGCAACCTGGGGAAGGGTACCATGTTCACGGCAAGTTTCCTCAGATCAGCGTTCAACTGACCAGGGAACCTCAAACACGTCGTTACTCCTGACATTGTGAGGGAGACAAGATGGTTAAGATCTCCGTAAGTGGGTGTGGAGAGTTTCAGTGTACGGAAGCAGATGTCATACAAGGCTTCGTTGTCAATACAGTAAGTTTCATCAGTGTTTTCAACAAGCTGGTGAACGGAGAGTGTGGCGTTGTATGGTTCTACGACTGTGTCTGATACCTGAAAAAAAAAAGATACTTTGGATTAATACCACAAAAAGCCAGAGAAATACGAGAGGAAACTGAGGAAGGGTTAATGCAGTAAATGGAATATTAGGAGGATAGAAGCTAGTATTATCAGCAATACTAAAACAATCTTCATAATCTATCAGAAGACCGTCGTTAGTTTTCATCATTTAATAAGGAGGTGAAATTATCAAATGGTTCACTATTTGCGGGTATTAATATAATATAGAGATAGACCCTGGCAAGAGAAATCATGTTAGAAGAAAAAATTCTAGAAACAATTAGAGGAGACTAAGGGAAATCACAGAGGAAGGCTTGAGGTAGGATATCAGATTTACGGTTTCATCTTCATACTGTTTCAGAAGACCGTCGTAAAAATTTCATCATAGGAAAAGGAAGAAAATCATACATGATGCTCGGCAGTTTCGATGATTGGAGTTATTCACCATGTCCTTTCATGTTGCAACTACTGTAAAATCCTTCTAAGTTTAATCAGAGTTAACTTATAACAATCTTCATATTGCATCAGAAGACCGTCGTTAAGTTTCATCATTTGAAACAATGGTCATGAAATCTGAGCCATTAAGAAGAAAAAAAATTAGTGTTTGGAATATAAAATGGAATTTAACGTACGCTTTGTTTCAACTGATTTTGTTTAATAATGTTTTCAAGAACTATCTAGGTGTATCGTTACAGAAATTCTCCTCTGGCTTTTCTTCTTCTTCCAAACAAGAAAATAGTATTTCAAATTAATTAGGATTCAATGTACGCAAGAGTGAAAATTTCATGAACACAAAAGCTCTGAGGAGATATCAATCAGGCTGAAATTAAATTGAGGAATGATTTCGGTCCTTTCGATTACTTTTAATTATTTTTTCTAGGACTCCAAGGGGTACTTATGGTAGAATCTTCTAAACAAATAAAAGGAATAGATTTTTCTACTGCAGAGCCATACAAGATCTGACGAGGCTTTGGTTTACAAAGGGCAATTCAAAGTTTTATCAGTTAACTTGAAACAATCTTCAGAATGTATCAGAAGACCGTCGTTAAGTTTCATCATTTGGAAAAAAAAAAAAGACACCTTTGAACTTCAAGAAAATATTCTCTTAGGAAATTACTACATCTAAATAGAGAAACAGAAGATAAAACAAATGAATACCTTAGGAGATGGTACAACTGAGTATGTGTTCATAATTCTGTCGGGGTATTCTTCACGGATTTTTGAGATGAGGAGTGTTCCCATACCGGATCCGGTACCACCTCCGAGTGAGTGGGTCAGCTGGAAACCCTGGAGACAATCACAGCTCTCAGCTTCTTTCCTTACTACATCTAAGACTGAGTCGACGAGTTCAGCACCCTCTGTGTAGTGACCCTTGGCCCAGTTGTTACCGGCTCCACTCTGTCCGAAGACAAAGTTGTCTGGCCTGAAGATCTGACCGAATGGACCAGATCGGACTGAGTCCATGGTGCCAGGCTCCAGATCGACGAGGATGGCACGAGGAACATATTTGCCACCTAGAACATCAATTCACATAAAATTATCCCACACTGAGAAAAAATATTCACATCAACAGTAATGAGGGCATGCTTGAGTTGCACTTGCAGATTCCTCTGTTTCGGGACTTGCTATGAGATTCTTCAAGACTGATTCTCTAGCAATGGACTTACTTTTACATGATTTCAATTTACTTCTCAAAATTAAAAGAGTGAATAAACATTTTGTTGTCGAACTAGAGACTTAACATCTAGTCTGTGATTTTGTTCATCTGGGTGACACTGTGATAGAGACAGAGGATTCTGTAAGTTGACTGAGTGACTTGGCCACTGGTTTTCATCTCCCTGATATTACTTGATCTCAAATGAAGCCACTGATATGGTGAGGGTCCATGACATAAGTCGCTGAATAACTTCGTTGACAACAATAAAAATCCATCCACATAGTTAGAAAGGATTTCATGTCCCTTGACTTATCTGACTGTAAGCCTCTAAAATTGGCATTATACAATGTGTGTCGTATCGTAAGGGCTTCAGTCTTTCCTGCAGCAATACGTCTATTCTGATATGAATCCACCTAAAGAAATGTATCACTCAGAAAAATAATTTTGCTGGGTGACAATTGGCACCATCCAAAAACACTTGGTGTCAGGGAATTATTTTAAATGACTAGAGACAGCCGGGATATGACCTAATTAAAAAGGATGATGAAGTCGATTTAAAGTGCATCACTCAACTTTTTTAGTGTTTCTTAACATTTGCATATATCTAATAATGCAAGAGTTTTTTTTCCTCTCAAATTTGTTGGCCAACCGAGCAAGATACTTATTCTAGGTTTTACGAGAAGGATTTTTTTAATTCATATGTCTATGAAAATTTATTTGAAGAAGAAGTCTCACATCATTCCATCATTCGAAAAGTTTAATGAGCAAATTAAAATAACTTCACAACTGATCGGAATATCCTCCATCTTGATTTTAAGTACACTAGGAAAACTAGTGAATAATCCTCAGCAAGTCTCAATTGTTTGATGAAAATAATTGTAGTACCTAAGAATTTTATTTTTCATCACAGTATCACATAAGTTACAAAAAGATGAAAAAAAAACTTTATAAGCTATTAACAACTTATTCCTCATAATTTCAGCAGATTATCATTGAAGAGATTAGAGAAAACACTTAGCATGTCAGAGAAATGAAACCTCCAGATCTTGCATGATTGATACTGAAGGTTCACTACACTACATCTGCTTTCATGGATGATAGATATCTTCGCAAATTTTATGGTATTCTAAATTAACTTAATTCTATGCCATTTCACAAATCAGTTTTTATCTTACTATCAGGATGTACAGAAAGAGAGAGAACTTCTCAACCTTTGGAATAACAAAAGATTCAAGTGTACTAAACAAGCTATTAGGTTCAATTGCTATAAGTCCTTAACTCACAACGAACTAGCACGCAACATAGGTACATTTTTAAATTCATCTTTACTGTGTAAACTATCTTAGAAAACTGACAGTTATCTTATTTGCCAGGAGAAATGTTGGGAATATCCTGCACCCTCAGTGAAAAGAGACTTAATGAAGAACGTGCAAGGCCTACATTGAAAGAAGAGAAAAGGTTCAGAGAGAGAGAGGAAGTGTAAGACATCATGAGTTAAAAGACTTGAAATAAAAGTGCGTTAGCTATGGACAGCAATTTAACCACAGGTTGTCCAGCAGTTACTGTACTTCACTCATATGTAGTTAATTTACTTTTTCTCCGCACATGTTGAAAAAAAAGGGGGGAGAGGAAAAGTGTGGCTCCATTTCCCTTGATAAAATTCAATTTCACAAGGAATGCTTTCGCTCAACAATAGATTTAAAGTTTATCAACAATGCGGACAAGTTTCTCGTTTACAGGACTGATTCAATTTGACAAGAGTTGAATTAATGACAAGGTGACTGAATTTGAGCCGTTGAAAGACTAAAATCTTAAGGAAAATACAATTGATGATGTGATTTGAAAGTTTTAACTTTTAACCCCCCTGAAATGTGGCTCTCAAGTTTAAGGGCTTTAGGAGGGGGAGCAACATCAGGTTGCTGAAAGGCTACTTGGCTTGACAAAAATCTTGTCATCATACAAGTGAAAAGTACACTTGAAAAGGAAAACATGAAAAACATTGAAGTCACTCTCCTCAAAGTTCAGCTAGACATCCCGAGTTAAAGAGACAGAAAAACATAATAGTGGTTCGCAGAAATTCAGGTGTGCTCAGCTTACTTTATGTTCTCTCCAAAGTTATCGAGAGCGACGTACACACATGTTTTCCTTGGAACCATCTCGTATCACTTGCAGATGAATCTTTTGTTAGTTCGAGGGTTAGTACATTAACTGATCATAGTAAGAAAAAACTGATTGGAATGACACCATACTTTTACCTGAGGCTTCATTGTAGTAGACGTTAATTCTCTCCAGCTGGAGGTCAGAGTCGCCATGGTAGGCACCAGTCGGGTCAATTCCATGTTCGTCTGAGATGATTTCCCAGAACTGAAATCAGACAGAGGAAAAAGATTAGCTTGAGAACTTACATTACGTCAATGATGCATGAATAAGTACTAGTTAGCACCTGAGAAAATGGAACAATTATTGTATTCTACTAATTTGGAAAATCCGCATTGGATTCTGATATACCTAGGTAGTTCTATTAAAATCTTTCTCAATTCTCTCAAAAGAATTTTCACAAGTATGAAAATTTAGGTGTTGGGTGCGGAGAGGGCATTTCTAGAAAGCAGCTGTTCAGAATCTTCAGAGCTAATTTTTATTTTGGAGAGGGAACTGATGGGTAAATTGTCTGAAATTTTACGTTTTTAGCACTGTAAAATCATAAAGAATATTCAGTAAAAGTTACAACAGATTACATAAATTTGCTTTAGTCATAATTAATGAAATGTTAGCAGCAATTGTGAGACACTGCGATTAAGAAATACCCTTCTTGCACCCAGCACTTCAATTTTTCTTGTTCAAGAATAGTTATTTTCTTATATGCTTCTTATCTCAATGGAAGAAGATATTCTATCACTGATAGTCAAGATGGGAGTTTCATCTGCCTTCAGGGAATTACATGAAAGCAACTACAAAGGTATCAATAAATGGTGAATGATTATCCTCCTAAGATGGAATAATGGAAGTCTGCTGTCATTTAGCAGGGCACAGATATTTTGCGCATGGTTTTTTTAACATTTTTTCAACATTATACAATTCAACGAAAGCTAAGAGAAAAAAGGAGTGTGAGTTGCCTTGGCATTAGAGTTGTTGTTTTACAAAAAAAAATTGATTTTCTTAATTAATTATGTTCATTCGCCATTAAATTCATGATTTTTCCGGAATGGAGGATTTATTTCCCTATAAGGAAAAATCAAATTGTTTTCCCAAAAAGAATTCAAATACATGAAACATAAAAATTCAAATTCAAAGGACCAACAGCTCAAACAAATCAGCTAACCGATAAAGAACTCAAGGCAAGCAACCTCACCTAAAGAAAAAGTAGGTTTTACTTTTATACCAACATGGCAACATCGGAATGAAAATAGGGAAAAGACAAGTCTTGCATCAAGGCCCAACTGCAAATACAGAGGCAGAAGAGGAGAAGAGGGTGTGACACGCTGAAAAAAGGAGTAGGCTGCAGCACAAGGTGGAAGCTGCCAAATAAGGATTGAGTCAGAGACAATGTGGAGGGCAGGCCCAGCTCTCAACCTGAGTTGGTGGCAGCAAGGCATGGAGAAATCTTATGAATGATTGTGACCTACCTAGTTGTGGCTGCCCTTCCCATTTTAAGAGCTGTTGACCAACTCAAAGCTCACTGCACCATATGGTCAAAAATTATTCGGTGAGGTTTAGAAAAAATTTGACTCAACTGAGAGTTAACACATATTTTTATCAGAGGGTGCAACTATGGGCAAGGGAGAGTATTGAGAGTATTGTTAGATCCCCTTAACAGGGTTGCCACGATTTCTTCATCTTCATTTTCCCTGACTTTCTACGACACTTGAATAATACTTCCACTCTGATTCTCTTCCTATGAGTGCACTCACTTCTGCGGAACGATAACGCATTCAGTTTCCTGATGATCCCGGTTTTGCAGACTAACGGCAACCCTGCACAAACCAGTTATTCAGAGACCAATATGATATTTGATGCGAATAAAAAGCTCTAATTTCTTGTCCTAACTTGCTCTATTTTCCTGATAAGTAAAGCTTGGTTACCATTCAGACAATAAATTGCGAAAAGCGAACGTTTTGGACTTTTTCTCAGAGGGTGATCAAAAGCCTCAACAATGTTCAGAAACAGATGCTCTCTTTCCATGCAGCAGAATTTTCAAAAATAAAAATTTGATTACAATGAATTGCAATACTAAATTCTTTTTCTCCTTTTTTTCTTGGGGGGGGGNGATCCAAGAGACTTAGATAGAAAGAAAGCAAGAAAGAAAAACCTCTTTCCGAAAATTAAGGGGAGAAAGGGGGTTTTCAAATTGGAATGGCTATGGCTATAAATTTTCTCCAACTACTTCACAGGAAAAAAACTAAAACATTCAGGCAATATGGTACAAATTTACCTACTCATGGATCCTGAGCACTCTAAGAATAAAGACGGAGAGAAAATTCAAATTAAACTTAAATGTATTAAAGATCCATTAGAAGAGGACTAATTACGACACAAAATGAGCAATTGAACAAAGTGTAAAAGGAGTCCTTTCACAGACTCATGAGGGGAAATAATTCCGAGTGATTAAGAGTTGCGAAAACTTCAGCCATAAAAGATCACAGAGAAAAAATGTCCCTTTGAACCATCTGTCTTTACTCACATGGGAGCACGGTCTGTTAACATTTTTTGACAAGAGTTCATTATTAAATGCAGGGAAAAGGGAAACTGATGAAGGTTAAAAGGACTAATACTCCATCAACCCACAATAGTTGAGGATCTTTTGAACCCACTCCACTGTCTCATTCTTTTATTAATCACTTAGTTACATGGGTCCTTGAGGAAAATGTTGCCACCAAATTGACTTTTACTTCAGCACTACATGTTAATTTCAAGATGCGGGCTTCCATTTGAAATTAGTCTTCAAACTTGAAGGTTTATTTTTACAAGATTGATTTCACTGAAGCTCAATAAATGCGCATAAAAATTCAGAAACCTCCGGAGAAATAGGAAGGACTTCAGAAATAACCAGATTAAAAATGGGCGGGACTCGCAAAAAAAGGATCAATAAATTAATGAGACCTACTAATATCTATGTAAAATTGCAAATTTTTAGCACGATTTCTTAGAGCAACTAGAAACGGCATGGAGAAAAACAAGAAAAAACAGGACACAACTAAAGGGCTTTTTTTTTATGCGGATCGCGACGAACATCGGTATTTTTTTATTCCGTTCCTCAGCGTGATCCAAGCGTTCCAGGTGCATCAGGTGGAACCAAATTCCAAGTTTGGATTTTTTTATCACTTGGAACGGTCCGGATCGCTCAGGATTCCGATCCAGTGCGTTCCACCCTGATCCGCGATAAAAAAAAAAAGCCCTTAAGAGAACTTTGTTAAAAAGGGATGTTGTGAGAATGAGGGGACTAAGAACTTTCTGCATTCCCTGTGGAATGGTGCTGATTTAAAATCGACAGCTTTTTGGCCTGAAATTTAATTTCACACATTTCAAGGTTGACCTAGGGAAAGGTGGGCTTCTCAACATACAAAAATGGGAATCCACGGTGAATTTCTGACTTCCTTAGGCCTGCAGATGAGGGCATGTAAAGTTTCCTACATGGAAACGCAAACCAGTATGTCCAAAAATAGGGGATTATTTCTCCTGATGGTAGACTTTAAAAGAGGCAAGAGAATAGGGTTTTGGAATTTAAAATTTCCTCCTCACACACGCATCCTCAATTTTCAGTGGTAGTTTGTCCTAACAGTATCCGTAGCAATCTTTCGGAATAACTGAATGTTTCATTAGCTGTGGGGGGCGAGTTTAACAATTCTGTCACGAAGTCACTAACACTACGACTCAAAAAACAAATGTGATGAAATACTTGGGTAAAAAGTAAGGAGGGAAGTAAGTACTGGAAGCCACTTAGATCAACGGAAGAGGAAATCGCTAACTAAGTACTTGAGGCGGAAAATCAAGAACAAATGAGATATGAATATTCGCGAAAAGAGATGCAAAATCCTTTAGTTTAAGAGAAACTCAAGTAACTGAACTTGAAAAATTCGGAAGTGAAACGTGTTCGGAGAGGACAAGAGGCAGAGGGTGGTACGTCTCTGCAGAGCTGTAGGCCTGAACCATGGATCAATAAACTACTTCCTCCATGACAAAAATAGCCTTGCTCGGGAAATGATCGAAAGGAAAGTGAGATTAAAGTCACAATTTGGGGACAAAAGTAACGATGGATGAACAAATCTTAGAAAAACCGTCACGTTAAGCCGGCCGCGAGATGTAACGGGCGGTACACATACTTAACGAATTACGGCATATTGGGACATCGCCCTAAGGGACCACAGGGATCATTACAGAGCCAGGTACGCCAACTCTTAAAGGAAAATGATAATCAGACTCTGCAGAATGAAAATTAGTACTTTCATGAGGGAAAATTCATTGAAAAATAGGCCTAAACATCAGACAAAGACTTGTAATATGGCGCGAATGCACTTTCCAACGGACGACGCTGAAAATATGGCGGCTGTGCCGGTTACAACCGCAAGTTCGACGAGAGAACCTAAGGAAACCGCCGTAGGAATCACCAAAACAAATTCGCACATTATTCGCATTCAAAGATAACACCAAAGCTAAGAGAATTGAAATCCAGGCACCGCAAAACTTGGAAGAAACACTTGTATGATGGAAATTCCAGGGGAGGTTCTTGACCTCCATTCCGAACACACACACGAGGCGAAAATTCAAGGCAGGAAAAAACACTTTAAACTGCAAAGAGATGAAACAGACCTTAGCTCCGATTTGGTTACCGCATTGACCAGCTTGAATGTGAACAATTTCTCTCATTTTGACTTAAATTAATAAATTAAATAGGGTACAAAAATTAAGCACGACACTCACGACGCGACTTCAGAGCAAAGAATGGTCGATTTGAGCGAGAGACGATTCACTTAACGGTTTTACATCACACAACGCCCCAGCTTCACTCTGATTGGCTGAGCGGCCCACACAGCCGTGACGTAGAAACTTGTTTCCAGTTGTGCCAACAATTGCGGCAAAAAAGTACTGGAAAACAGCGTCGCTGCATTGTAATTTTTTATTGTTCCTCGATCTCTTCGCGAAATCAGGATCTAATTATGGGCAAAGCAACTTATTTACGAGCAAAATTTAGATTTAAAGGAAGGCGTTTGTCGCGGATTTGACTCTGGCGAATTTGCAACTCTACATTTTCCAGCATGACTCATCGGACTAAATGAGCGTTGTTGGTAAACAGCACCTGGAAATGCAGGATTTTTTATGAGAATCCCGCCTCCTCCGTGCTTCCTCCATTATCGGTCCCTTCTTATTCATTTTTTTCTCTTATTCAGGGGAGTCGTTCGGGCCGCGACTATTTTACTGGAATTCCTTTTACGGGGCACCACAGCACAGCCACACGTTAGAGGAGCCGATTTGAAACCGGCCCGTATCTACCGGTCGGATTCCCGTGTATCGTGTAATAGGTAAGAATGATTATCATTGGGGGGNNGGGGGGGGGGGGGGGGGGGGGGGGGCGTTTGGTATGAAGCAACAACTTTAGGCGGTTTATTGCATTAATGTATGCGTGGCTCTCGAAAATAATTTATCTCGTATTTTAGAAAGTAAGCAAATAAAATTTCTTTAAAAAAAATTAAAATTAAAGGCTGGAAAATTCATAAATACTATATGTTCTTCTACAGCGTATTGAACGAATTTGACGGTACCGGTGCGCCTGGATCCACCGCGCAACATTCCATAATTTTTGGAAATATTTCATTTTTTAAATTAAAGAAAACCGCATGATGATTTGCACAGTATAATTGGTGATCTCTACCCCTATCATACAAAATAAAAACATTTTTCACAACAGAATGGGCCGCGATGGGCCTCAATACATTGTAGTCGTATAAAACATGAGCGGATTCCTGGGGGGGGGGGGGGGCGGACGTCCTCCCCGTTCACTCGAATTAAGAGAGGAAGAAGAAGGGAAGAAAGACAAAAAGAAGGGACGGATGAAAGGAGGAGGAAAGACGCTTGTATTTGGTAATTATTCATGACGAAATTTACTCAAACTTCATAATAGATGCTGTAAAATTTCGAAAATTTTCTGAGGAAAGCCCCCCGGACCCCCGTTCGGCCACCGGTCGAAGAGTCTGGATCCACCAAATAGGTGGATCCTTTAAAAAATCAATCAACAGAGTAGCACCGTACATTAGCGAGTAATGCGGTAGCTTCATTTGCTAGATAACGAGGTTCGACGCATGAAAAACGCCTTCAACGAGGAAAAATACTTCCTAGCGTGATCTCTGGAGCCAAATAGTTGCATCCTTTAAAACCCTAATCATTAGAGTAGCAGCGTACATTAGCGGGTAATGCCGTCACCTCATTTGCTAGATACCGAGTGTCGACGTATAAAAAACGCCTTCAACGAGGAAAAATACTTCCTAGCGTGGTCTCAGAGGCCGAATAGTTGCATCCTTTACAACCCCAATCATCAGAGTAGCAGCGTACATACATTAGTGGGTAATGCCGTTATCTCATTTGCTAGATACCGAGTGTCGACGTATGAAAAACGCCTTCAAAGAGAAAAGATACTTCCTAGCGTGGTCTCAGAGGCCGAATAGTTGCATCCTTTACAAACCCGATCAAGAGTAGTAGCATGCAATCTGTGGAATAGCGAGTAATGCCGTTGATTCATTTGCTAGTTAACGAGGTTTGACGCATGAAAAACGCCTTCAACGAGGAAAGATACTTCCTAGCGTGGTCTCGGAGGCCGAATAGTTGCATCCTTTACAAACCACATGGACGGAGTATCAGTATCAGCGCATATTAGTGAGTAATGCCGTTGCTACATTGATACCGAGTGTCGACGCATAATAAACACGGATCTTCAATGAGGTTTTTTAAAAAAAAAATTTTTACAAAGAAAATATCACAGAATACTAAATATAAGTATGTCTGGACGATATTTTCAGTGCGTATTTTTGAGAGAGCAGACGAGTGTTTACGAAAAAAAAAAAAAAAAAAAAAAAAAAAAAAACCATCTCACAACGCACAGCTTTCATGTAAACTCAAAAACGAAAATTGCAACAGGAAATTTGGCACGTCGCGAACATAGATACACGGTCTCGTAGATTTACCATCAACTATAGTCAAAACTAGGTCAAAACCTCCCAGAAAAATTCTCCATACATATTTGTCGACCTTGAAAAATAGATGTTCAAGCATCTCGCGAGGCAGAGTATGTAGCTCCAGGAAACAACATTTGGACCGACTTTATCAGAGTGGAGCCAACCCGCACTTTCGAAAAAAATTGAGTCAAGAATGTTTTTGAGTTCAGCCGTATATTTTCTCCCGCCGAAAACTGAAATTCTAAAAACAAAAACTATTTTGTGAAATGACGGGTAAAAATTTATTTTTTACATTGAGCCTTATCCAGGAATAAAACTTCAAACCACGCATTTTCTCAGTTTCAATTTAATGTGGGTTGGCTCCTTTCTGATGAACTCGGTCCATTTTGTCACAGTTGTATCTTCGTCTCGACGGCAACATATTTTTTAATTATTTTCCCAGGGAGCTTCCTGTCAGCGGTGTTTGGATTTTGGCCACCGAAAGCCCGTAATTTCGTCTACTGTGACGCTGGCCCGTCTGTAACAATTAACGAGAGGTAGCTCGTAATTAGCGACGATCCTGTTAATGACCGGGTATAGCGTCAGTGCGTGAGGACTTGAGGAGCTTGCGCTTGTGCTAACTGCTAACTGGATGCTAAACTCACCGAACCAGCAAAGATCCCCGACACCGGGGGGGGGGGGGGGCTGAGTTAATGACCTACCAAGCGATGATCTACCTTACACGGTGCCGGCCAATGTTGGCACGCTTCCTTTCAGACCCTCCTTGTTCTCTCGTTTCGATCGGTTACTTAGCAGGTTATCTGGCAATAATGATACTCAAAGTCTCTTTCATTATGTTTTTCATTATTTTTTCGAGCATAGCATGAAACTTCGGCCGGAAAAGTTTCCTAGGTTTTGTTGGATAGGGCTCGGGACTGGTGAAAATACTGCCGTGCTAAGGAAAAACGCCGTATGAACATTCGAGCGTCGCTAAATTTCCTTTGATAAAATGCCCATTTTTGAGGAAAGTTGTGAATATTCTTCCTTAAAATTTGTAAGAACTTTAGGTGCAATTGCAAAAAAAAATCATCTGAAAAATTGGGAGGAAAATATTTACAAGTTTACCAGAAAATTCGTGTTTTATCAAAGGAATTTTGGCAACGCCTGGAGGTTCATACGGCGTTTTTCTTTAGCACGGCAGAATACGCATCATAAGTTTCAGAGTTCGGAATTATAACTCAACTGTTGTCCTTATCTGTATAGAGCTTTTATTTTCTCGAAGGGAGGAAGAAAAAGAAGTATACACAGGCATGTCCTGAGGAAAAGGGGGATTTTCGGTGGGAGTCTCGCTTGTGAGACTTTCCATCAACCTGGAACTTTGACTTCCTGTAAGAAATTTTGATCATTTTAGTGGAATTTTAAAAGAGTTTCTGAGGCCCTGAGATTTTTGGTCTACTTAAATGGGATTTTCAAAGATTTTCTGAGATTCAACTCTCCTCCTGGAAAAAAAAAAATTACCGAACTATTTGAACATCCTCTGTCGAGATGTAGTTGAAATGACATAATTCAGCTGCCTTTGAAACTTTAGGCTCTTAACCCGGTTCGAACTTTAACGAAAGCAAGTGCATTACCTCTCTTAAACACAGCAATTCATCGGTAGTAATGAAAGAGTTGAATATCGGGGGTGCTTTCAGGACGGGTCTTAAAATCCCGTTAGGCCACGAATCTAGCCATTGAGTTTTTTAGAAATTTTTACCTCCCATACTTTTCGTTGGTATACTGTTCCCAGCATCTTAACTTCATTCTCCTCATTCCAAACGAGACCAGTAAAAAATTGAAACTGCTGCGAGTTGTCTCTCCGATATTTACCAGGCTCCTTTCTATCTTTCTAACACGTAAGTCGCACATATCTGGGCTTCTCCTTTCACCTAGGACGGGAGCTCCAGCTTGCTGGCTGACCGTGGTTCGATCTCGGGGAAAGAGGTGACGGGAGGGGGGGGGGCGACTGGAGCGTTTCAAAAATACCTTTCTCCTTCCATGGAGTAGGACATTGGCAGATACATATACCACATGCTCCATGCTCCATCCTCGAGCTTCGATCTCGACCCAGTCTGAGAAAGCGAGAGCTTAGCCCCAGCTCCGAAGGGGGGGGGGAGACGTTGCTGCCACGTGGTAGTAATGAATACCTGGTTATTTTCCGGTCATTGGGCGTAAAAATGCTTATTTTTGGGCACTATTTGACACTGCTGACCGCTTCAAAGTGCAATGTCTTCGGTTTCAGTCGGGAACTATTTATTTGTTTGTTTATTTTTATGTTCTGCATGTGTATAACACCACGGTGCGGTCGGACTTCCACAATGGGTTAATGCGCTATTTTGCCGTCGGTATCTTCCTGAGGTGACACGAATATAAACAGGAGTGGTCAGAATGGGGAGTAATGTGAAGGAGATTTTTCGATTGTCCGCGGTGAACTTTCTAATCGGCCGGAATTCTCTCCAGGGGCGTAATCGGAGATGTTTCGTGGAAGGATGAAAGTCTTCATTCAAACATTTTCCAATCAAACGGAAAAGACTTTTTACAAAATGATTTTTGAGTCATTGTATAGATAGTTCAGGTCCTCTGCTAAGCCTTGGTGAACGCTCCTCTCAATGCCAGCTGCTTGAGGTGATAGTTCTTTAGGTATGGCCTCTAGTTGAAGGAAGGGGGAATACGGCCCTCGTGGAAACTAGGGCTCAACAGAAAATGGACATGTTCCTCCTATGAAACCACGAGTTTTCGAATTTTCCCGGTGCAGTACACAGCGAAGCCCCGAGCCTC